GCATATACCTTGAGAGAGCCATAATTGAAATAGACCCATGAACCCCAATGTTCACTGAAGCACTATTTCTGATAGCTGGGACACAGAAACAAGCTAGATGCCAATTGACAGATGAATGGATAAAGAAGCTGTGGTGCATAAATACAAATGAATACTACTCAACCGTAAAACAGAATGCATATGAGTCAGTGCTACCGAGGTGGAAGAATGTAGAGCCATTAAGACAAAGTGAAGTAAGTCAGACGGAGAAAACAAAGTATCATACATTAACATATGTATATATATATATATATATATATGGAATCTAGAAGGATGGTACTGAGGAACCTATTTGCAGAACAGCAGTGGAGACACAGAGAACAGCGTTGTCATCACGGGGAAGGGGGCAAGGAGCGGGTGGGACGATGGAGAGAGTAGCAGGGAAACGTATTCACTGCCACATGTCAGAGAGACAGCCAGCGGGAATTTGCTGTGTGACCCAGAAAGCTCACACCAGGGCTCTGTGGCAACCTAGAAGGTGAGGTGGGGTGGGAGGTGGGGAGGAGGGCCAAGAGGGAGGGGCACATATATATGTGGCTGGTTCATGTTAATATATGGCAGAAACCAACATAATATTGTAAAGCAATTATCTTTCAACTAAAAATAAGCAAGTTTGTAAAAATTCAACAGCACATTAAAGTGATCATATATCATGATAAGGGCTTCGCTGGTGGTGCTAGTGGTAAAGAATCCATCTATCAATGCAGGAGACTTACGAGGTTAGGGTTTGATTCAGGGTCAGGAAGATCCCCTGGAGAAAGGCATGGCAACCCACTCCAGTATTCTTGCCTGAAGAATCCCATGGACAGAAAAGCCTGGTGGGCTTCAGTCCTTGAGGTCACAAAGAATTAGTCAAGATCGAAGTGACTTAGCATGCACACACACATAACATGAAGAGAGGGATTTATTTTAAGGGTGCAAGAGTGAGTCAACATCTATAGCTCAATATGTTATACCCCATTTTCAAAAAATGATAAAATATATATTCATCTCAATAAATTTTTAAAAATTTGAAAAAATTCAAATCCATTTATGATAAATACTCTTATCAAAGTAGACATGGTGGAATGTTTTTCAACTTATTGTGGTTATATATGACAAACCACAGCTAACATCCTACTCAACAGTGCAGGGACTTCGCTGGCCGTCCAGTGGTTAAGACTCTGAGCTTCTACTAAAGAAATCATGGGTTCAGTCCCGGTCAGGAAACTAGGATCCTTCTTGCTGCATGGGGTGGCCAAAATAAAAAATATGCAAAACAACAAAACACTTAAAGATGGATGATTTCCTTCTAACATCTGGAAACAAGACAAGGTTGCACAGTCTTGCTGCTTTTATTCAAAATGGTATTGAAAGTCCTAGGCAGAGCAGTTAGGTGGTAGAGATAAAAGTTATCTAAATCAGAAAGGAAAAGTAATACTGTCACTATATGCAGATGACATGATTTTGCACATAGAAAACCCTAAAGGACTCTACCAAAAACTGTCAGAAGTAATAAGCATATTCAGGGAAGTTACAGTATGCAAAATTAATATATAAAATACTTTGTATTGCTATATACTAAAAACAAATGATCAGGAGTAGAGATTAAGAAAGCAATCCCATTTACAATAGCATCAAAAAGAATGAATTACTTAAAACAAATTTAAAGGCCAAGAAAGTGAAAGATGTGTACTGAGAAATACAAGACATTGATAAAGGAATTAAATAATATGCTAGGAAACAAAAAAATACTTCATGCTCATGTATTGGAAGAATTAATATTGTTAAACTCTCCATATTAGAACTGGAAAAGGTCAATCCTTATCCCAATTTCCAGGAAGGGTGGTACAAAGGAATGTCCCAACCACAGGATGACTGCACTCATCTCCCGCTAGTAAGGTCTTGCTTGAAGTCTTGCACGCTAGGCTTCAGTGTTATGCAAACTGAGATCTTTCAGATATCCAAGCTGGGTTTAGAAAAGGCGGAGGAACCAGAGATCAAATTGCTAACATCCGCTGGATCAGAGAGAAAACAAGGGAATTCCAGAAAAACATCAACCTCTGTTTCATCGACTGTGTGGATCATAATAAACTGTGGAAAGCTCTTAAAGAGACAGGAATACTAGACCATCTTACCTGTCTCCTGAGAAACCTTTTGCGGGTCCAGAGACAACAGTTAGAACCTTGCATGGAACAACTGATTGGTTCAAGATGGGGAAAGAAGAGTATGACAAGACTGCCCGCTGTCATCCTGTTTGTTTAACCTATACACTTAGCACATCATGAGAAATGCCAGGCTGGATGAGTCACAAGCTGGATTCAAGATAGGCAGGGGAAGCATCAACAACCTCAGATATATGGCTGGTACCACTCTAATGGGCAGAAAGTGAAGAGGAACTAAGGAACTAGAGAGCCTCTTGATGAGGGTGAAGGAGGACAGTGAAAGAGCCAGCTTAAAAGTTAATATTAAAAAATAAACTAAGATCATGGCATCAGGCTCCATGACTTCATGGCACATACAAGGGGAAAAAGTGGAAGCAGTGACAGATATCCTCTTCTTGGGCCCTAAGATCTTTGTGGATGGTGACTGGAGCCCTGAAATCAGAAGACAATTGATTCTTTGTAGGAAAAAAAAACAGTGAAGTTGCTCACTAGTGTCCAACTCTTTGTAACCCCATGGACTGTAGCTTACCAGGCTCCTCTATTCATGGAATTTTTCAGGCAAGGGTACTGGGGTGGGTTGCCATTTCCTTCTCCAGAGGATCTTCCCAACCAGGGATCGAGCCCAGGTCTCCCGCATTTCAGGCAGCCACTTTACCGTCTGAGCCACCAGGGAAAATGTGTCAAACCTAGACTGTGTGTTGAAAGAAGAGACATTACTCTGCCAACAAAGGTCCGTATAGACAGGGCTATGGCCTTCCCAGTGGTCATCTACACTTGTGAGAGCTGGACCATAAAGAAGGCAGAGCAGCAAAGAATTGACGCCTTCAAACTGTGGTGCTGGAGAAGATTCCTGAGAGTCCGTTGGACAGCAAGGAGATCAAACCAGTCAATCTTAGGGGAGATCAACACTGAATACTCATTGTAAGGACTGAAACTGAAGCTGAAGCTCCAGTATCTTGGGCATCTGATGCGAACATCCAGCTCATTGAAAAAGTCCCTGATGCTGGGAAAGATTGAGGGCAGAAGAATAAGAGGGCATCAGAAGATGAGATGGCTGGATGGCATCACCAATACAGTGGACATGAACTTGGGCAAACTTCGGGAGATTGTGAGGAACAGGGAGGCCTGGCGTTTTGCAGTTTGCAAAGAGTTGGACACACCTGGGTGACTGAACTGCAACAATCTATATTTTCCAAATCCGTCTGCACCTTCAACATAATCCCTATTCAAATTGCAATGGTAATCTTCCCAGATATAAAATAAACAATCCTAAAATTTGAATGGACCCTGAATAGCCCTAGCGATCTTGAGAAAGAACAAAGTTGGAGATATCATGTGTCTGATTCCAGGACAAAGATAGACAAGATACAGAGAGCCATGAGCATTTGTGTCAGAATATAAGAAGATGTTCAAAGAATTTGTATATGTGCCTCATGGACACAAAGCAGTTTGAAGGAGTCTTTCAACAGGCAAATCCAGGACAATCTGAAAATCATATGTAATGTTAATTAAGGATTAAAACCCCTTTTAGTGTACTAGGAAAATTTGAGTCCATATCCATATAAATACATGAAAATATTATTTTGAAGTGGATAAATATATTGAATGGATATAGTAAAATAAGGTTATAAGAGATATATAAAATAGTGAATATATTGAAAATATAACTAGAAAGGATATATACACATAAATCTTCTCCTCAAATAATTATTAAGAGATAAGGAGAGAAAGAGATGTTAGCGTATAGACTTTAATCACCTAATCAAAATGACTTTTTTCAAAAAGATAACAAGTAGGAATCATGTGCTGTTAGGATGCAATGGAGCAGACACACTCAGCAACACTTCTGTGATGCGTTTAACAAGATACATAACCTCAGTCTAAGTATCGGGAAACATTTCATAAACCTAAACTGAGGCACATTTTCCCAAATAATCAGCCTGCGACTATAAAACTTTTGAATGTCAGAAATGCCACAAAAAAATGTAGTCAACTAAACTAAGGAGATAGGAGTACCAAATGCAGTCATTGGTTCTGAAGTGGATCTTTTTGTGTAGAGTGCCAGTCCCGTGATGAAGGGGAAATTTGAACCTGATCAAAGAATTAGATGTTAACAACATATCTTTGTTTCCTATTATTGAAGGTCTGTTTTAAGAGAATTTAATTCTCTGTAAGAGTTACACATTAAAATTTTTTTTATTATTCAACTAGTTTAGGAAACAAAATTTGTTTCTCATGTCATTTCTTTAAGTATGAGTTTGTTACTAAATTAAACAGTGCACTAGAAATATAGAAATATCAAACTAGAGAGAATCTAGGGTTTATGCATTCTCTACACTTAATGTTGAGCTGTTTTAATTTTGTTACCAAAGTAAAAATAATTCTAACTTTTAATTAATGCAATCAACCATCGTGTTTATTCTTTCAGTTTTTTATATTATCCCTAGTATATGTATCATTTTCTTAATAATAACTAGTTCTTCTTACTATAATGATTATAATCTTGACAGTGTTGTCAATAATAAGGAAAGTAATAAACAGTAAGTTGTACTTAAATAAAGCCTTTTTGTCAACAAGCACTGTTTTGTTTAACATATTCTCAATCATGCAACCTCCTTAACATCCTCTATTTATTAGATGTCTGTAATATTGAATTAGAATAGAACTGAGCTTATTCTTTTATTACTAATTGGATTAAAAATAAAGCACTCTCCATTTCTTAAGTGAAGAAGTAAATAATTGACAGCATGTTACTGAAGAATGTTACTTTGATACTGATTTTGTTCATTTTAACTAAGAAATACAATTTCATTTTAGACCTTCCCATGGCATAAAGTTTTTTAGCAGTTGCAGCATAGATGAATTTAAACATGCAACTTCACAGCCTAAATTTGAATGTCTTCAGAACCAAACGGTTCCCAAAGTGGTTCCACAAGGAAGAACTGCAATCTGCGGCAATGGGGTTTTGGAACCACCTGAGCAATGTGACTGTGGGGCCAAGGAGGTTAGTGAAGAAGACTGATGTTTGTTCCTGTGTTTGTCACGTAATCTGACAAATGTAGAGGTGACATAAAGGGGAAAACTTAAAAAAAATTGTACCATATAGTCAACATCTAAGATGGGAAGCTATGGGGCATGTGATAACTGGCTCATCCAGAATTTGAAGTTGAAGAATTTAAGAATAGGGTAAGTGCAGCATGGGTTGAATGAAGATTTTCCTTACTGTATAAATATTACCCATCTTTCTGTATCATAAACATCAATTCCAACAGTAGTGTAATCATCACCTAAATCATCCATGAATTCCTTTAAAGTGATCTAAATCAGATCACTGAGTTGTTAAATGTATGCTGTTGTTCACATCTTCATCTTCTAATTTCAGTCCTTACATTGGGGGAACTTCATTTTTTTTAGCTTGGTTTCACAAAGTTGAGCTAAAGAGCAGAGACATCACTTTGCCCACAAAGAACTGTATAGTCAAAGCCTTGGGTTTTCCAGTAGTCATGTATGGATGTGAGAATTGAACCATAAAGAAGGCTGAGTACCAAAGAATTTATACTCTTGAATTATAAAGTTGGAGAAGACTCTTGAGAGTCCTTTGAACTGCAAGGAGATCAAACCAGTCAATTCTAAAGAAAATCAACTCTGAATAGTCATTGGAAAGACTGACACTAAAGCTGAAGTTCCAATACTTTGGCCACCTGATGCAAAAAACCGACTCATTGAAAAATACCCTGATGCTGGGAAAGATTGAAGGCAGGAGGAGAGGGGGACAAGAGAGGATGAGATGGTTGGATGGCATCACCGACTCAATGGATATGAGTTTGAGCAAGCTCTGAGAGATGGTGAAGGACAGGTAAGCCTGGCATACTGCAGTCCATGGGGTCGCAAAGAGTCAGACACGAGTGAGCAACTGAACTGAACTGATAGGTTCATGGATTATAATAAATGCACCACCACATCTGTTAAATTCCAGTGTTGTGTGATTCTTTTTGGTCAACTCTCATCTCTTATTTTGGAGTCTCTTTTTATGAATATTCTTGAGCATATAAACCACCAGTTATCAGTCAGTTCAGTCACAAAGTTGTGTCTGACTCTGAGACCCCATGGACTGCAGCATGCCAGGCTTCCCTGTTCATCATCAACTCCCGGAGCTTGCTGAGACTCATGTCTATCGAGTCTGTGATGCCATCCAACCATCTCCTCCTCTGTTGTCCCCTTTTCCTCCCGCCTTCAATCTTTCCCACCATCAGGGTCTTTTCCAATGATTCATTTCTTCGCATCAGGTAGCCAAAGTAGTGGAAGTTCAGGTTCAGCATCAGTCCTTCCAATGAGTATTCAGGACTGATTTCCTTTAGGATGGACTGGTTGGAACTCCTGGCAGTCCAAGGGACTCTCAAGAGTCTTCTCCAACACCACAGTTCAAAAGGATTGATTCTTCAGTGCTCAGGTTTGTTTATACTCCAACTCTCACATCCATACATGACTACTGGAAAAACCATAGTTTTGACTAGACAGGCCTTTATCAGCAAAGCAATGTCTCTGCTTTTTAATATGCTGTCTAGGTTGGTCATAGCTTTTTTCCCAAGGAGCAAGAGTGTTTTCATTCCATGGCTGCAGTCACCATCTGCAATGATTTTGGAGCCCAAACCAGTAAAGTCTTTCACTGTTTCCATTGTTTCCCCATCTATTTCCCATGAAGTGATGGGACCAGATGCCATGATCTTCGTTTTCTGAATGTGGAGCTTTAAGCCTACTTTTTCACTCTCCTCTTTCACTTTCATCAAGAGGCTCTTTTGTTCCTCTTCACTTTCTGCCATAAGGGTGGTGTCATCTGCATATCTGAGGTTATTGATATTTCTCCTGACAATCTTGATTCCAGCTTGTGCCTCATCCAGTCCAGCATTTTGCATGATGTACTCTGCAAATAAGTTAAATAAGCAGGATGACAGTATACAGCCTAATGTGCTCCTTTCCCAATTTTGAACCAGTCTGTTGTTCCGTGGTTGGTTCTTGACCTGCATACAGATTTCTCAGGAGGCAGGTCAGGTAGTCTAGTATTCCCATCTCTTTCAGAATTTTCCACAGTTTGTTTTGATCCATACAGTCAAAGGCTTTAGCATAGTCAATGAAGCAGAAGTAGATGTTTTTCTGGAGTTCTCTTGCTTTTTCTATGATCCAGTGGATGTTGGCAAATCTAGGTCTTTAGTCTGGATTTCCACTATATATTGAGTGCTATCAAAATATACTCCCTACTGTAGGTGCTTTCTTTGATTCTAGATTTTTGATATTAGGCTATCACGTCACTGATTTTTGTTTCATTTTCCCCAATATTAATATTTAGTGAGGGTTTAATCTTCTATCTTCACTAAATTCACTTGTTGTTTTTCATTAACCTATTTATATTGTGAAACATAACACATTCTTCTTAATAATGAAACATGAAATATATAAGAATGATTATTATCTGATTCTTATAGGTATTACAAGTGTTAAATAGGAATAGAATTTGGGATATATTTTAGTAACATGACATTAGTGTAACTGCATTATGTTTCATTTTATAAAGGACATTATATAAGTATTGAGGTATAATAAAATATCAGTAATTACTATTTTATAAGAAAATAATAAATTACTTAATTTTGGCAGAACAGATATATTCCCCTTATAGTTACATTTACAACATACTACTCAAAATACTTACAGTAAAATAAAAATGCATATATGTAGATATATATTTATATATATAACGGAAACACTTTACTCCTTCACATATTTACTGGGGTTAATGTGGAAGAAAATTTTATACAGAAGCTCTTAGAACAAGTCACAAAAGAAAAGTGGCAATTTTCAGATTTCATAATATCATAGTAACAAAAATATTTTTAAAACCTGCCAAAATAGAAAGAAGTTCTCATGAAAAATTGCAAAACAATATAAAATATATTAGTGGCTAGGGGTTAATGTTATTAACATAAAAGTGCTTAGAAATAAAGGAAATAAGTAGAATAACTCAACAAAAAGTATGCATAAACATTTAAAATAAACTAAATTGAGCAGATACGTGAAATTGAACCAGATATAAAGTTATTTGTACCTATTCACTTTATTCATTTTAAAATGTTATCAGTCATATCATATCACTCTTACACTTACTAGATAACTCTGTAAAAAGAAGGAAATAAATGTGTGTTATGAAAGAGCTCTTAACATTTTTTAATTCTTTGAATGAATAACTTTTAGAATCAATCTTTAATATACAAGAACTAAAAAGTGAAAAGTGTTTCTTTGAAATGAAACAACCAAATATGCTGTTGTTATTTAGAAACCTCTATTTTGTCACATCCAAATATTTTTATATAGTCACAGAATATCTTGAGGCAAATTGATAAGATAGATAAGTAGTTTTCTAGTGGCTCAGACAGTAAAGAATCTGCCTGCAATGTGGGAGACCCAGGATCGATCCTGGCTTAGGAAGATCCCTTGGAGAGGGAATGGCTACCCACTCTAGTATTCTGGCCTGGAGAATTCCATGAACAGAGGAACCTGGTAAGACTACAGCCGATGGGTCACAAAGAGTTGGACACGACTGAGCAAGTAATGCACACATACACAGACACACACAAATGAAAAAAAAAACTCAAAATTTATTGTCCATATACTTATGAACACAAAAAGATTGAGGTAAATTGCATTACATTTTTAACAGTCAAATTCTTGAGCATAGAATCATGAATGATTTCATTACCACTTTTTTTCTATATCAAAATACATTGTTTAGGTGAAGTGGTGTTAAAAATAGATACAGAGATAAAAATTATACTGTGATTGTAATTAGAGACATGTCTTAAGATACTATGACAATAAGTAAAATGATCTAGTTCAAACTTCCTTTCATTTAATCTGATTGCCTTTGCTTTCAGAGCTGCGAGCATCTGAAATGCTGCGATCCTTTACACTGTGTGCTGCTTGGAAACGCGGACTGCGGCTCTGGGCCATGTTGTGGGAAAAAAACTTGTAAGGTGAGTTTCAGAATACTGCCTTGTTTTCTCCCATGAAATTCTTGCTTTTGTGGGCTTTTTAGCTTTTTTTCACATAATTTTTACTCATCATTCAAATATACTACCATATGTTCTTGATTCATACACAGTTGATTTCAGAATTGAGAGGTCTCTAGATCTTTTCCAATCAAATTTTCAGCCCTGCCTCTAACCTTATTGTTTCGATCTCTCCTCAGAACCCATGCTATTATGGCATTTAATAATAATTTCAGGTAATTTGGGTGTTGTGAGTTCCTCTTGGTCATAATTGAATGTAGCTCCTCACAATCTATGACAAAATTATGAATAAGCCACCCAACACACACTTCAGATACAACATTTGAATAAACAGACATTATAATAGCAATCCCTCACTTTGGAAGTAGCAGAAGAAAGGAATCCATAGGGAATAGTCAGCAATATGCAGCATATCTAATACTGAAGACTAGCTTTGTCAATCACTCACTGAATCCTTGACTTCCCTTGGGAAGTTTTCCCTTCAATTTTCCTTCATAGCCACCTCTGATAGGAGCCCAGGTAAGTTCTCTGTTCTAGGGACTGCTTCATTTTAGCAACGCATCTTTCTCTGTGTCACTTTCAGGAGGCTATGACATACATAAATGCTGACTGATTAGAGGTTTTGTTGTCAGGTTTGTTTTTCCACTGTCAATGAAAATCTCTCCCCACATCATTTTACCCTGTTCTCTGCATGTTCTTTTCCACTCAGTGGGCTAGTTCTTAAAGCCAATGTTCATTTGTTTCAAAGCACATTAATAATAATAATAAAAAAAGCACATTAATGTAGAGGCGAGCCTAGGGTTTCCACTTCTTAGCAATAAACTGTGTTGTTCTTTCCTTCCCCAGAACTCTCATCTTTGTCTTTGTCTCCAAATCAGTGAGACTGAACAGTTGAAATTTCTAAACAGTCCATTTCCATCTGGGCTCCCCAGGTGGTGCTAGTGGTAAAGAGCCTGCCTGCCAGGAGAATCCCATGGACAGAGGAGCCTGGCCCCTGCAATCCATAGGGTTACAAAGGGCTGGAGATGACTGAAGTGACTTAGTACACACCCACTATTGCCCTCTACCTACATTTCAAAGGATAATTCTTTGCACCAGAGAATATTCCTGGATTTGGTCCAGTGAAAATTCATAGTATAAGTTGCTAGGGAGAGATTCAGGGTAACAGCAGTGAATTCTATAAAGAAGTTCCAACTAAAACCTATAACTCCAGCTATCATCTTTTGTTTTTAGCATTCAGGACTGCACTTATTGATCTGTAGAAGGTAGCCCTGGACAGCCATTTCATTTTTCACACTTGAGGGAACCTGTGACTCAATTCTACTTCTGGGAATGTACCCACTGCCACCGTCTGCCCAGGACCTTTCCTCCTCACTCTTTTTTTTTTTCTTTGTTACATTTAAGTTTCCTGTTTATTTGCCATGCCAGAATATTCTTAGTCTTTTTTTTTTCATTTATTTTTATTAGTTGGAGGCTAATTACTTTACATCATTGCAGTGGTTTTTGTCATACATTGAAAGGAATTAGCCGTGGATTTACATGTATTCCCCATCCCGGTCCCCCCTCCCACCTCCCTCTCCACCCGATCCCTCTGGATCTTCCCAGTGCACCAGGCCCAAGCACTTGTCTCATGACTGCAGACAGATACCGCTCTGTGTGGATAGCACTCACCGTGTTCCGGCCACACTGGGTTTGCCCCGCTCACGGGTGTCAGTGCTTTCCTCGTCTACACTGCTCAGGCTCCCGGCTGCTCTATATGGTGCGGGCCCTGCGTTGAGTGCGGTTCCAATTTTCGGGTACTCCACAAAAGCGCGGATTCGGTTGCGCCTGCGTTTTGTGCCTTCCCTCCTCCTCACTCTTGAAGCATGCGTCAATGTCCTATGTTAGTTCCCATTAACTTTCTCACATGTTATAGCATAAAATCTAGCTTTTGCTGTCTTTTCAAGGGTCGCAGGTGCCTCTCTTATTAGTGACCATAAGCTTAAAAGGCTTTTTATTTTTTTACCTGTCTACTTTCCATTCTAGCTTCCACTGACATGGTCTGAAATCTAATGATTTGATCCAGTGTTTTTTTCTTATACTTTTTCAGTCTAGATGAACACAAGTCCTAGTGCAAAGACATGGAAGGCCAATGCTTTAACCTGCTGTTATCCGACACATAATGGGGACTAACGTGTTTTAGTCAGTACCCAGACTTTCCTCTCTGAAGTTTTAAGGAGTTGTGTCTGGTACTGCACACCAGCAATTGTCCTGGGTCAGCTGTATCTTGATGATGAGCAGACAAGCAAAGAATAAGAAACAAGCACTCGGGAAGCTGACATACGACATGAGGTCAGCGTCATGCTCAAGTGAATCTTTGTTTAAAATAGGAACAACAAGACTCTTGTGCTATACATCATTTGGATATCCTTGCTTTTCCTTGGCAGTTCTCAGACAAGCTTTTCCTGTATGCAGTACTGATACCTCAGCGCAATTCCTGGCTTTTCTAGTCCATATTGTATGGTATTTCAGAAGAGCAACAACTATGCCCAACAACTATGCCCACCCCTGGAAGTGGCAGAAGCCCTGACCCACCATTGCATTCTAAGTTAAATTTCCCACCACTGTGTCTAGGGAAAGTGTTCCAATTGTCATCCTGAGTCAGAAGCAGTTTCACAGTAGAAGTGGAATTAGTCCAGAAAAGAAAATTACTTGAAGGCCAAAAGGACAGGGGTGTCCACTAAGAAACATTTTAGAAACCTGGAAAGACCAGCATCTGAGTTAGTTAAAATATTTCAGGAGTGCAATGGATTAGTCCCCAACAATTGAAAGTTGAAAAACAGATATGCGTAGTGTCATCTCAGATATTTTCTGTTTATCTTGAAGTGAATATTCAGGATAACCACAGCACTGTAACTATGAGTACTTTTGCTACAGCCATTTTTAAATTGAAGTGCAAATCACACAGTGAAAATTTAGCCATTTTCAAGTGCGTTTAGCGCGTTGAGTAGCATTAGGGCATTCGCGGTGTTGTGCAGCCACCGCCTTGACCTGGTTCCACAGCCGCTTCCTCACCCAAACAGGAGACCCCGAGCCGTGACGCACCTGCTCTCCTCTCTCCCTTCCCCTCGGCTCCTGGCCACCAGCCCTGCGTTCCGTCTCTATGGACTTCCCTACTCTGGACATTTCATAGAACTAGAACCAAACAGTGGGAACCCTTGCGTCCGGTTTCTTCACTAAATACAGTGTTTCCGAGTTGCAGTCACCTTGTGGCATGCGTCAGTACTCCACTCCTTTACGCGGCTGAACACATTCCACTGTCCATGCCGCAGTTTGTTTACACATTAGTAGGCATTGGGTTCTTTCCAAACTCTTTCACCAGAACTTTTAAGCAAATTTATAGCTTAAACACTTACAAATGTAATGGTAATGATGATAGCTGCAAATTCAATGCTGTTATTTAATATTTCTACATTTGTTTTACTACTTCAAAGCAAATATGTGTTTTTCCTTTTCTCACAGATACTTGATAGAGGAATACTGTGTAGGAAAAGCATTGATCCATGTGATTTTCCAGAATTTTGCAATGGGGTGTCTGAATTTTGTGTACCTGATATGAGAGCTGCCGATTTACAAACATGCAATAATAAATCTTCCTATTGCTTTAGAGGAATATGCCAAGATAGAACGAAGCAGTGCAAGGAGTTGTTTGGAAAATGTAATAATTTATCTTTTCTTCTGAGCTTTATTTTTAAACTATATTTTTCTAAAGTCAGTAAAACACTGACAGTAAAAATAAAAAGGACTGTTTGTTAAATCCAAATTTGAACATAAAATCAATGTAACTTTGAACTATGTATTAAAATCAATGTAACTTTGAACTATGTATTAAAATCAATGTAACTTTGAACTATGTCTAGAGGTAAAACAGACCCAGTAAGACAGGAGAAAATGAATAGGATATTAGTCAAATTTGAGGTGGTTGGGAGAAAGTGAGTAGAATTTAGAATTGAAGATAAGAGAGAGTGCAGAAGACTAGGATTTCTTAATTATTTCTGCTCTATCATACCAGCTCTCCTATTCTTAAGTGGGTAGTTTTCAGTAAGTGTTTCTTTTTCTTGTATAGCCAAATAGATAATACTGAAATTTGTAATAGATGACATTTACTGGGCATTGTTGTTTAGATATTTCAATATTAATTTAACACAGTTTTAGTTTTTAATTTTTTAAAGATGAGTAATTGGAAATTTTGCTTATGTTTTTAGTTGCTAAAGAATCTAGCTATCAGTGTACACAGGAAGTGAATTTTCAACGAGATGAGTTTGGAAACTGTAATGGAAAAGCTTGTACTTTTTGGTATGTATTTAGAAATTTATACATTTTTCAGATGCCTGTGTGAGTATATGTGTGTGCATACTGCCAAGAGTCACTTAATGCAAGTGAAAGATTAACCTGGTTTATACAGATGAATTTATATGTTGCACTTTATTAGCTGGTGTATGTTCTGAATAGTTTTGGTGTTATGATCGCAGTAACATTTTGAATTATCCTCATATTTTGTAGTTTTTTTTAATCTAATCTCTTGTGTCTCTAAGAGACCTACGGGTATTAAGAGCTTTTTTTTAATATATTGTAGCCAGCTCCTTTGTGGAAAGTTAGTCTGTCACTGGACACATTCACTTATAGTACCAAGGGATGACATTGATGTTCAATATACCTACCTTGGAGGCCATATATGTATGTCAGCAAATATAAGAGCTCATAGATATCCGGACCCTACTATTGTCAAGAATGGAACCATGTGTGATGAGAACAAGGTAAATAAAAATTTTACTTGATTCTATATATAGCGCATGGATGTCTGAGTGTGTGTGTGTGTGTGTGTGTGTGTGTGTGTGAGAGAGAGAGAGAGAGAGAGAAAGAGCTTAAGATTTTTTAATTTGAAATTAATGGTATAAATTTTGGTTACTATATCATCATAAAATGAAAAGGTCACTTTCTATTGGCTAAAGGAACATTTGCTTCACTGTCTATCTTTTTATTGTGAATTTTGGTATAGTTAGTTGAATTTGTTTTGTCACATTTGAGAATCTAAACTTGTCCAGTAGGCAAGGATCTGGTCTGTGACAGTTTGTGTAATCAAAGAACAAAAAGTATCAAATAATACTTGAAAAAAATGGGTCAGAACAAACCGAATAATGAGAAAAACAAGGAAAACCAAAAAAAGCCAACATTTAGCATTGCAGTTTTGACTAGAATTAAATTGCAATGAAATGAAAACATTTTCTCATTAGCCTACTCCCCTAGTTCTTTCTTCGAAAACATAACATACTTGTTTAACACTGGACCCTTCTACAAGATACACTAATAAAACAGAGTTTGAGTTTTATGTAGTTTTCTTTTTCTTAAATACTTTGATAAACATAAAGAATTTTTAAAAACAGTGCCATTAAAAGCTAGTATATGAAAGTAAAAAGGGAAACAATTATTTCATATTTTAATTAAAAAATTACATTAAGATACAATTTTTTAATGAAGAATAGAGGAAATTGGAAGTGAATAGTAACCTTCCCTCAGGATGGCAAAAGATAGTCTCACATAAATATAATGGCTTCCCTGATAGCTCAGCTTGTAAAGAATCTGCCTACAATGCAGGAGACCGAAGTTAGATTCCTGGGTTGGGAAGATCCCCTAGAAAAGGGATAGGCTACCCATTCCAGTATTCTTGCCTGAAGAATTCCATGGACGGAGGAGTCTGGAAGGCTGCAGTTTGACCCCTGGACTGGGAAGATCCCCTGTAGAAGGGAATGGCTCTCCACTCCAGTATTCTTGCCTGAAGAATTCCATGGACAGAGGAGTCTGGCAGGCTACAGTCCATGAAGTTGCAAAGACTTGGACAAGACTGAGCAACTTTCACTTTCAATCACAAAGGAACATACTGATGCTGACTGCATTATGAAGTAATATGTCACCCCTCTAAGCATCATTTAAAACAAAATGCAATAATGTTTACCATAAATATGGCAGAGTAATATGTAAACTTATTAACTAATTTAATTATTCATTAATTAGAAAAAAAGTAATATAATGGTATAATAGTATAATGTGGTTTAACACACACAAGAAAATTAATTTGGCCTTTTCCTTGGTTTCTGGCCCAGAGCTCCTAAACCTTAGAATTTCCTGACTGATAGGAATATTTGGTGTTATTCATAATGAGATTCATCTAAAGAAACATGAGTTTATGCTAATGAGGTAATAGGGTGGTGCCTCTTGATGCTTCAGAGTGTGCTGGTCACCAGAAAGACCAATTGATTAATGGGTTAGAGCTTTAAGCTCCACTCACAGCATTAATATATGGAGTGATATGGCTGGAGATTGGACTCTGTAAAACTTTTTCAATGATTAGACTCAAGATAGTTTGTAAGTTGGTGAACACAATGTGCTGTAATGAGGATGTGCCTGGAGAGGATGTGGAGACGATGACTTTCCTCTTGCCCGACAACATAACTTGCCCTCTGCATCTCTTCCATTTGGCTGTACCTGAATTATATTCATTCCCATAAATTAGTAAACATAAGTGAAGTCTTTCTCTGAGTTCTGTGAGCCAAATTAGGAAATTATCAAACCGGAGAGGGAGCCATGGGAACCTCCAATTCATAGCCAGTTGGTCAGAAGGAAGAAGACTTGAACCTGGTGTCTGAAATGGGAACAGTCTTGTGGGACTGAGCCCTTTAACTTGTGGAATTTGATACTAACTGCAGATAGATTGTGTCAGAATGAGTTGAACTGAATTCTTGGACACTCGGTTGGTATCAGAGTCATAGGTATCAGGTATCTTAGTGGGTATACCCCCTCCGTGTGTGTGTGTGTGTGTGTGTGTGTATGCACATCTATGTGTACTCCAATATATATATATACGTGTGCACACTGACACATACTCCAGTATATGTGTATATGTGCACACACATCCATACCCCCATATATATGTATCTGTGTGCACACACACACACAAACCCCAGTATATATATATATATACATGTGTACACATACATACCCCAGTATACATGTACATGTGCACACACACACACACACACACACTCTAGTGTTTATCAGTACAAAAAAAATCGTGAAATTTAACATATGACTAAGAAACATGAAAATATTCTAACATAACCTGTGATTAAATAAATTCAAAGTAAGTGAATATTCAGCTATTGTTTCTGTGCTATCATTTTGACATCAAAAATAACATTTGATAGAGAGGAGATAAAGATGTCATCATAGGAAGATGTTAAACTCACCTCTCCCCAGGAACACATCAAAAGTACATCTACATGTGAAGCAATTCTCCCTGAAAACAAACTGGATACTTGTCAGGTACGCAGGAATGACAAACAATCAGTATGGCACCTGTGCCTCTAGGAGGGAGCATAGAGGAAGGGAGAGGGGTGTGTATGTGTGTGTATGGTTCACAGATCCTCCCTGGGGAAGGAGTGGTTTAAACTGATTACTGGATACCCCAGGCCTGGGATCTGACACAAGGATTTGATCCCTTATCAAGTTTGAAAATCAGTGGGGCTTACAGGTGTAAGTGCAATTTGCTCAGTTGTGTCTGACTCTGCGATCCCATGGACTATAGAGTCCATGGAATTCTCCAGGCCAGAACACTGGAGTGGGTAGTCTTTCCCTTCTGCAGGGGATCTTCCCAACCCAGGGATCAAACCCAGGTCTCCTGCATTACAGGCCGATTCTTTACAAGCTGAGCCACATGGGAAGTCCAAGAATATGGGAGTGGGTAGACTATCCCTTCTCTACCAATCTTCCTGACCCAGAAATCGAACCGCAATCTCCTTAATTTCACTTAATTTCATAGACACAAAGTCAAAAACAAAATGAGAAAAGAATTATTTCAAATGAAAGGAAAAAAAACTGAGAAAACAAAAAAATGATAATTTACCAGATAAAAAATTTAAAGCATAATCAATAAGAATGTTATCTGAACTTGGGGAAAGAAGAAATGAACACAGTGAGAATTTTAGTGAAAAACTAGAAGTATAAAAAATAACTAGTTGGAGGTGAAGAATACAATAACTAAAAGAGACTCACAGATATAGAGAACAAGTCAGTGATTACCAGTGGGAAGAGGTAAGCAGGGAGAGATTGAGACATAAAACTACTATATAAAACATAAATCAGCTATAAGAATATATTGCATAGCACAGAGGACACAGCCAATATTGTATGCTAACTTTGTTGTTTTAATTTTTAATTTATATTGGAGGACAGTTGATTAACAATGTTGTATTAGTTTCATATGTACAGCAAAGTGATTCAGTTTTATATAAGTATATATATATCTATATAAATCCACTTTTTTCAGATTCTTTTCCCATTTAGCTTATTACACAGTATTGAACAGAGTTCCCTGTGCTATATAGTTAGTCCTTGGTTATCTGTTTTCAATATAACAGTGTGTACACGTCAATCCCAAACACCCAATCTATCCTTCCCCCTCAACCCTTCACCACTAGTGGCCATAAGTTCATTCTCTATCAGTCAGTTTCTATTTTGTAAATAACTTCATGTCAATCATGTTTTTTAAGATTACACGTATAAGTGATATCCTATGATATATGTCTTTCTCTGTCTGACTGACTTCACTTAGTTTGATAATCTCCAGGTCCATTTATGTTGCTACCAATGACATTAATTCATTCTCTTTAGTGGCTAATATCCCATTGTATATATGTACCACTTAATCTTTATCCATTCATCTGCTGAGGGACATTTAATCTGCTTCTGTGTCTTGGCTGTTTTGAATAGTGCTGCAGTGAACATTGGGGTGCATGTACAATTTTGAATCAAGTTTTTTCTCTTATATACCCAGGAGTGGGACTGCTAGATCATATGGTATTTCCATTTTTAAGGAACTGTTCTCCGTAGTGGCTGCACCAATTTACATCCCCACAAACCTCATAGGAGAGTTCCCTTCTCTGCATACCCTCTCTAGCATTTACTGTTTGTAGATTTTTTTGATGATGGCCATCCTGACCATATGACATGATACCACATTGCAGTTTTGATTCACATTTCTCTGATAATTTGATGGGCTTCCCTGGTGTCTCAGGTGGTAAAAAAATCTGCCAGCAGTGCAGGAGGCCTGGGTTTGATCTCTGGGTTGGGAAGATCTCCTGAGGAAGGGAATGGCTGCCCACTTTAGCATTCTTTGCCTGGAGAATTTCATGGACAAAGGAACCTTGTTGTTCAGTCATTAAGTCCTGTTCAACTCTTTGTGACTCCAAGGACTGCAGCATACCAGGCTTCCCTATCCTTCATGATCTCCCGGAGTCTGCTCAAACTCATGTCCTTTGAGTCAGTGATGCCATCCAACCATCTCATCCTGTTGTCCCTTTCTCCTCCTGCCTTCAATCCTTCTCAGCATCTGGGTCTTTTCCAATGAGTTGGCTCTGCCCATCAGGTGGCCAAAGTAGTGGAGATTCAGCTTTAGCATCAGTCCTTCCAATGAATGTTCAGGGTTGATTTCACTTAGGATTGACTGGTTTGATCTCCCTGCAGTCCAAGGGACTCTCAAGAGTCTTCTCAAGCACCACAGTTTGAAAGCACCAATTCTTCAGTGCTCAGTCTTCCTTATGGTCCAATGCCCATCCATACATGACTAATGGAAAAACCATAGATTTNGTAAATTGGGAATTCATTTTACTAAATAACAAGACTTAAGATAAAGTTAAAATAATTAAAATGAAAGCCAATAGGTACAAGGATAAATTAGCCTATAGACTAAGGTATAAAATAT